AAAAAAACGCCTTGGCTGCATTAAAAAAAATAGCTGCAAAAAACTTGGTTGTTTGCAAAACTCAGTTACTTTTTTGAAGAAGTATATAATTAATTTCCCAACATTGGTCATTATTTACTGTATTTTGCAGACAGAGTTACAGACTCTCTCCCAGACCACAGACTCAGACTTATAATACAAGTCAGAGCTTTATAATAAATAAAGAAAGAAAGTTGTGTTTTCAAAATTGGAGTTGAAGCTATTTTTACTTCCAATAGTGTTAACATACTGCAGGTCATGAACAAGATTTTTATTTTCATTGTAAGTGGGATACAGCAGTTAATTAAAAGTAGTCTAACATAAATGTAAATGCTGTAATTTGATTACTTTAATAAACATGTAACTTGGATGATTCGATGCTGGCGTGACCACAGTGCACACGTCTGCTGTTGCTCACAGTGGTCCAAGGGACGCTCAGGGAGTTTGTGTGTTCGCTCAGACACATGAAAAATTAGAGGGAACATTGTTCACCAAATGACTGATTATGTCTGCCCTAAGCTGACACCAGCTTGGCGCCTCAAAACACAGTTGATCCTATAACCAGCATGAAGCACTTGGTTTTAAAACCCCCTGAAGACCCCACAGCTTATGCTTGGCTGCTTTTTATTGATTTTAGCTCTGCTTTTAATACTATCCAGCCTTTTTCAGAAGCTAAAACAGAGGACACACAGCTCTATTATAAATGGTAAAAAATTATTTTTTCACAAATGTTTTAAAATTTGTTTTAAAAAATGTGCAGTTTTGGTTGTATAACTATGTTGGTTTTCATGTTGGCTGGGTGGGCTCTCTCAAAAAGTCATGCTTCTGTCTGAGCACTTTTGTGTTTCCTGTTTTAAGCATGTATAAGTATAATTAGAGACAAAATAAAAGCGTGGTCTGGAAATTTCTCAGTAAAATGGAAGTTGTTAAAAGTGGTGCAGGCAGCCACGAAAATTATAGTCCAGAAATAGTATCAGAACAGTGTGCATTACAGCAAGCCACAGGAATTTTGTGCAGTCTAAGTCATATCCTGTACAATATGAGCTGTTACTTTCTGACAGAAGATTTGAAAATTTAAAAGGTTTAAGAATTCATTTGTAACTTGCTTGATTAATGCTCTGAATAACTCTAAACGGTTTGTAGTTTATGGAAAAAAAATTTGTTTGTTTTAAATATATTTTTTATGTATGTCCTTTGTATGTGGTTGTTGTAATGCTTGTCCTGTTGGAGTCCAGAACAAATGTCCTCTTTGGAAACAATAAAGTACATTAAAAGAAACAAATGGATGAATATTTCTGTGGAAGCTTCTGATTTGATCCAACCAGTGCTTAGGTTTCTGCTATAGTCTGTTCCTCATCTGATCAGCAGGGGGCAGCAGAATATAACATAACACAATATTTGGAATTTGTCCAAAATTTTCAGTGTTTAAAAAAAATTCCCAATGTAGCCTCAAGGTTCACAATAGCACAAAGTCTGTAACAAAAGATCTTTACAGTCAAAGAGATTTTGATTGTAAAATGTGTGTTTAGCATGGAGCCTTCTTCTATAGATGCAGCATGTAGTTTTATTTTGATTTTAGGTGAATATTGCATCTCTTACAAAAAGCTTGGTTTCAATTTTTATTAATATATATATATATATATAT